TCTCCTGATAAGTTTACTCTTATTTAGTGATTTATCAATTAAACGTGCGTTATCTTCTAGCAAATGAGTAAACTTTTTCCAACCTTGTGAATATCTGTAACTGTATCTTATTTAAAAGTTTCTAAATTTTTATTTTGTACCTGTTTCTCAAGGATTTATCAGTGAATAAAAATTTGTTCGGTAAATGCTCTCTGCATAAATACCTTCATAACTTTTAAAATGCAAGATAACAGAGTTTATTCAACATTGAGGAACGGTTAAAAACTCAAAAATGCCTTTTACAAAGAAAACACTTTAATTTCACTAAAATAACCTAAAAACGCAGTGAAACCTGTGATCCCACGTCTTCTCCAGAAGATGTCAGTACGACCTCAACAATTTTAACTCCGACACTGTTTGTGTTGTCCACTAGGGGAGCTATAACTCCCTGTGGCGTTCGGTTGACATCCTGTTGTTAGCCGCTTAGCTCAAAGTTAGCTTCGGCTAAACCCGGTTAAAATCAACGTTTCTGAACGGATTTTTTACACAAACGTGGCAAATTTTTAGCGATTAGACCTCGAAGACTTAAACAGCGTTTCAGAACACAGCTTTAAAGCTCTTTTCAGCTTAAAAAAGCAGATTTTATTCCCTATGAAAACGAGTTTCCATTTCCGGGTCACGTGACTGAAATCACCAATGAAAAAGCAGCGCAGGGTTGAGAGGAAGTTACGTAGGCACGCATTCACCCTCCTCAGCAAATCAGAGCGCTCCACAACAGCGAATTCAACCAATCATAAAAGCGTACGCAGCAGCTAGCATGATAGATTTATCTGAACAAGTCCGTCACCTCTTTAGTCTCGTAAACTGTCAAAATGCACTTTTTCTGTTAAAAAATGTAACGAATCAACTCTCTGAGCTGCACGGAGACGGCGCTCCGTGACAAAACGTCTTTCTAGCTATTTAAACAACTCGTCCGAATTTTCCAGAACCGAGCCGGTCCAGAACCGAACCTCCCGTCCGTTTGGACCTCAGTTTAAACAGAATGCAGCGTTTTTCACAGCTCATCAGCTCTTAGTTAACATAACAGGCGTACAATGTCAGCTTTCACAAGACTCAATGACACAATTTCAGCTTCTAACATCACTAGCCCAACGCTTAGAACATGCAGCGTTCCGCTTCAAAGGCGCAGCTCCAGCTGCGTTTCAGCACAGCTGACAAACTGTTACTTTTTTTTATATACATGCCAACACGTAAAATCAATGTTTACACGGTTACAGTCCATTTATGAGCGCGTGACGGGCCACCAATATGTAGATGAACAGATGCTCGGATATATTCATCATTTAACATGGATTCCTCATTTTTCTGGACTGAATAAAACGTGCATTGAATTTAAGGAAATGCAAACGTGAGACGTCATTTATGTTCGACCCATCAAAATGAATGCGGTCATTTATTTACAGAATCAAAGTTAACATCAAACATTTACATTAATTTGGCAAATTATGAAAATAACAACATAAGCAATCAATCAGGAAAAATCATACGGCCATGATTTTTCCGTTGCTTCACCACAGACATTTATGAAACTGTACAATTATGATCTTTTACCCACACGGACGTGGATGAGCATTTTACACAGACATTTCTAAAATATCTGGAAGAATTTCTACTTGAGAGAAAAGTTTCAAGATGGGAAAGAAGTTAAAGAAGAGTAAAAGATGGGGTTTGAGGGAGTGTGTTAACAGAACGGCACTCTCTGGGCTTTCTTCAGCTTTCCTTACGGTACACTTCGGTGGTAAAATCGACTCTTTTACCTGGAGATGTCTCAGGCAAGATTCCGTTTAACGCACCCTTCAGCGTCTCCGTAGGATGCTGTTACTCCTCCGGAGTAGCGGCGAGACTGTCCGACACAAGCTCACCTCAGTGGAAAATGTTATAATCCCATGAACCTCGGAAGAGCTCTGTTGTCATGTCAGGATCATCCCGTCTCTCACAGAACTGAACAGAACTGTCCCAGAACTGTTCCAGCACCATCCCAGAGCTTCTAACAGAACTGAACTGTTTACCGAACTCGAGCAGAACCTCAACAGAACTGAGTAAACCAGGAAGTACTGACATTTTAAAGAGCTGTTTCCCGGTTCACTTTTGGGAGTATTACCATTGGTCAGAACCGACCAGACGGGGTGTGTTTTGTGACGTAAGAGGTTAGAAGACAGCAAGAATTGTTATGGAAAGATCAGAAATGTTCTCACAGACAGAGAGAGTTTTGTTTTGGCGCGTTTCAGAAACAGGTGCCAAAAACCTCTATATTTATGTCTGAGAGGATTCTAAAAACATGCCAACAACTTGTTTTGCGTTTGACTCCAACCTTGGACCAACTTACACTTGCTCATTCAAAAGCAGAAATCAGAAAAGGCATAATTACTCTGTAACAGACCTCAACATGAATTTTAACTTTGCATGAGAAAAAATCATTACACAGTTAATAAAATTGACTAGTTCACTGCAACATCTAAAATGGTTTGAACTAAGACACTTTGATTATCAACATTTGTAAAATAGTAATGATAATAAAACAGAGAGTGTTCTTTTCACTTGAATCTTCAAGAGAGAAAGTCTCAGGATGGGTGAACCTGTATTTCTGGATTCAAATCAATGAAATGACAGTTCCTGTCCCACAAGGTTCTTAAGGTCAAGATTTTTGACCTTAGACTTAGTTTTTGACATGGGCCTAGTCCACTACAAATTGATTTCAACAACAGCTTAATTAATTAGCTTTACAGTTAGAAAACCATACGGCCATGGTTTCCTCACTTCAAGCATTACAACAGACATTTCTGAAAATATCTGGATGAATTACTGGCAAGATAGAAGAGTTTTAAAGATGGAAATGAAGTTTAAATGGAGAGGAAAAGATGGATGAGTGAATATGTATCGGTATCAGAATGGCACGCTCCATTGGATCTCAGCTTCCTCCTCGGTACACTTAGGTAGTGTAAATCGACTCTTTACCTGTAGAAGGTGTCTCCACTGGTACGGAGTTCCATTTAACGCACCCTTTCAGCGTCTCCATAGGAACAGCTGTGAATCGTCCGAAGTAGTGACGGTATTCCGTCCGACACACGCTCACCCCACTGGTGGACTCACAAGAGGAGTAAGTCCGTCAGAGGCTCCACTCAGATGTGGAAGATTTCATAATTCCCACAAGACTCGGAAGAACTGCGGATCATGTCTGAACCTCCTGTTCTCTCCAGCACTTCTTCTGTTCGGTTTTGCTCTCCGAACTGAACTGCTCTCCCACCGCACTCGACTTGGAACTAGCATTCTTCCCAGAACTAGGAAGTGTTGAACCTTTTAAAGAGGTCACTTCCGGTTCATTTGAGAACTTCCTGATTGGTCGATCGACCGAACAGGAGGTGTGTTTTTGTGACGTAAGAGGTCAATAGAAGTCAGAAAAACAGAAAGAATGTTTTGGAACAGACAGAAAATATTTTTGAGACAGACAAGAGAAATGTTTAGGCGAGTTGGGAGGAAACAGGTGCCAGCTTCTCTATTTATGTCTGAGAGGATTTAAAAACATGACAGTTCGTTCCAACAAACTTGTTTGCGTTTGTCTCAGACTTTTGACCGACTTACAACCTTGCTCATTTCAGACAGAAAATCAGAAAATGCATAATTACTCTTGTAACCGACATTAACTTGATTTCTACTTTGAATGAGGATTTAAAAATCACTAATACTGTTTCACAGTTGATTTAAAATGAGTAGTTCACTTCAACATTTAAAAATGGTTTGAACTAAACACACTTTGATTATCAAGACATTTGTAAGATTGTAATGATAATAGAAAAAGAGAGTGTTCTTTCAATTGATCAGTGCAGGACACTTAGAAAGTCTCTGGATGGACTTGATTTTGTGTTTCTGGACTCAAATCAATGAAATACTGTTCTTGTCCCAGGAAGGCCCTCAAGGTCAGGATTTGACCTGAGGCTTAGTTCACTACACCAGTTAGCAAGCTAAACAGGCAGAAAGTTAGCTGCTTTAGACACTTCAGACTGCCTATGCTTTTCAAATGCACTCCCAAGTTAGCAAGGCTAAACAGGGAAGAGTGAACTTGGCCAGTTAGCAAGTTAAAAAGGCTAGAAAGTCAGCAAGGCAGAAAAAGTGACCTTTAGCTGGGCTAAACAGTGTAAGCAGCTTCTGCAAGTTAGCAGGCCAAACGAGCAGCAAGCAGGATCAAACCTTGTAGCGACACCCTGGGCAGGGAGCGAGCTCACCTCCAGTCAGACAGTTAAGCCACATACAAGGGACCTGCGGTCAGGTTAAAGCAAGGTGAAGTGCAAAAAGATCAGGGAAATGAGACCACGATGCATATTCATAACCTAGGAGGGTGGGGCCTCCTGTATATGCAGCAGTCTCATTTGCCTTGACAGGCGTGTTGAAAGGAACTTCTTCAGGTTGGTCTCGCGAGGGCGCAATCCCCATACTACTGTGTATCGAGTGTACTGACCGAAAGGGAACATTTTATCACCATCAAACTGGTTGACCCACTATGTGAAGGTGATGTTTATAATACTGAGTTTGCTGTGGCTCCTCAGACTGATGAAATATTTTGGATGAAAGACGAATCCAAAACGTTTCAGCAAAAAGAAACCGTCCAGAGGATCTGACTTAACTTTGTTGGATGTTCTACCTGGATTATTGAGCATGAACTTTGATGCTTACAGGAAATTTTGCCAAAAGAGCTATACACACAGAAATCAATAAGTTAGGCAATGGCTGCTGCATCAGAGCAAATCCACAAACTGTTGGAAGTATAGCCTCTAAACAAAACCAAGAACAACTAAAGAGGTTTGACCAGCACAGACTCCCTCCTAAAGGATTAGAAAATGGAGGACAGTTTATTTGTTTCTGTTGTCGACAGAAAATATCTTGAGTTCCACATTAAAACATAATGAGAAAAATCTGAACATTACTGTCATTGTGCTGACTGCTATTATTATTATTTTTTTCTTCAGGGAAGCAAAGGAAATGTTGGTCCTGTTGGACCACCAGGAGCAAAGGAAGACAGCTTACCAGGACCATGGGTAAGAGGAGAACACAATAAAGAGGCACCTCAGAGACATCTAGATTCAATGAACAAGAAACAGTGGTTAAGCAGAGTTTTTTTTTTTTTGTCTTGATCTTCAGGGTTTACCAGGCTTGCCAGGAATAAAAGGAGAATTGGGACTTGAAGGGAAAGGCCTACCTGGAGTAAAGGTGAGTTGAGCTTCACACATTTCATTAGCTAAAATTTTAACTGTTTCCCTGTAATGCATGGTAGCTGTACTGGCAGCAGGGTTGCCCAATTTGCATGCACAATGATGCCCCCCACAGTGAAGTTTCAAATCAAAAATCATTTAACAACCAAGGACAGGCTCTACAGTATCATGATCACTTCTGTGTGTTGAACCCAAAGTGCAGGAAGACGAGGAGACTCCAGTAAAATAAGTAAAATGTTTAATATAAACAAAACAAAAGGCTGTCGGGGAAGCGGACTTACTTTAAAGGGGAGACATGGAGGGCTGATGAAACATGAAGCCTTGGACGGGACAAAGACAATCCAGAGACACTGACAAGACACCAAGGGGCTGAATATATACAGACACTAACAAGGTGAAATGAAAGGCACCTGCGGTTATTAGGATCAGATGGTGCGACAGCGCTGGAACACAGGAGGAGAAATGCTGAGGGGTGACAGGCAAACATGAGGAAAAACACAACATGTATGACAAGACCCCAGAAACCCTACATATAGAATAAATACAACATAAAATTCCTCTTTACACTCTGTTTTCAACAACATACATTTTGTGGACGATGACTTTTGAAAACTTCAACTACAACAGTCCATTCACAGACACATCAATGTCACTTCAGGTCAAATCTGTTGGTCTGGAACAGGTTGGTCCACCTGTTGCCCAACCAGACAGAGCTGATGTCTCAGTCTGTGGTGGTAAGAACTTGAAGAAACATCAGGAAGAGCCTTAATTAACATGAGAACTCTGGATCACACCGGCTGTCTTTTGCGTTTAGTTTTTGAGCAGAAAAAACGTGACCAGTACCAGTGCTGTTGACAGCAATCTCTGTCAATGGAAACCTCAATCTTATTGTTTGCATCCACAACTGTGCTGCAAAGATTTCTGGACCCAAGTGTTTTTCAGTTAAAGCTGTGGACCACAAATAGAATACTTGTTGATTTGTCAAATTATAAACATCAGCCTCTTTTTCAGTGTTGACTTTAGTGAAACAGTAGTTCACATCAGACTGCCACTGAGAGCCGCAGCAGGGGCCTGTATAGACAGAATCCTGATTCCAACATCTCTTCTGAAGTAGGTTTGTAGTTTGACAAGTTCTTCAATGTAATGGATATGTGATGTCACTGTTGTAGAAAACATTCTCACTTTATCTCACTTACTCTAAAGGAACAACACTCGACGACAGAAGAAGATTTTTAACCGTTTTTTACTTGCAAGGACAGATTTTCAGGAGAGGTTACACAGATATACAGGAAGCACACACATGAAGCCGTTACAAGAATCTACCACAGACAGTGTGCGAAGCTTGTTTTTATACCCTATCAGTTCAGCCGAGCTCACAGACTCAGAGGTGACCTTGAAGCAACAGTTGCATGCTGTAGCCTCAGATCAGCTCCTCATCCAGCTCTCTCTGCTAATTCAAACATATGGTTCACGGGCAGAGTTAATATTCTCAGCCGTAATAGTTAGAAACTAGGGCTTTAACAGACTACTCGAGTAATCAACAAGTCAATTCCTAGGACATCTATTGAGTTTTTAAATTTCACGTTGAGTATTTGCAGTGATGTCATTACGTCGCAGTTACATCATTGCTTCACGTGTCATGTGATCCGCACCGAGCTACTAGTAGAAGCTACCAAATGGATTCCTCTCAGCAGATGGACTGAGTAGAGCAGGCCCAGTCTTGGCAAACAGGTAGAAATGCATCAGTAGTATGAAAATATTTCACTAAAGATGAATCTTCTGGTTCAACTACCGTAAGTAAACAGAAAATGAATCAACTTCCTGACTGTTTGGAGCTCGTTGCGAACCGGTGTTACACCATATTCTGTGGCCACTGTATATTGTGACTGTAGGGAGCGGTGTTGCACACACTGTTGCAGGTCACAGAATATGGTGTAACACTGGGTCCAATCGACTGAACCAGAACCAGCTTCCTCTGACCTTGTTTCACAAACAAAAAGCAAAAAATATTAATCTGTAAACTGTTGCGTTTTGGAGCTGACTGTGGGTCGTCAGTCACTTCAGCTAGCTACTTCTAGCCCTTTGGCCTTGGCTAGCGGTGGACCCGCACACAGCCCCCAGCACTTTCCTCTGGCTCTATTTCCCTCAGAAGTGGCAACTCATACTAACAAATAAATCAAGGAAGCGTAGATTAAGTTTTACCAATTATATTAGAATCAAGGCAGGAAAAGGTTACAGCTCACAGTGCTGGACTCTCTGGTCTGTGGCGCGTTACAGACCCGGAAGCAGAGCCCCGATGTCTTGTGTCATTATTAATTTATAGGGTCCTAGACTCTGCCTTTCGCAGAAGGGGAGCTCAGCCTATCAGTGTATGAGGGGGCGTGGCTAAGTGTGATCTCAGGGATCTTTTGTAGACTGTGTTAGGAAATATGAGACGTGCTTCAAACCCTTTCTACGTGATGTGGCAAGCAGATTAAACTATTTCTTGACTGATATTGAAATCCCTGGGAGAACTCTCTTTAGAGTTGCTGGCCCAGTTTTAACCCAGTCTGAACCGGGTCATAATTTCATTATAATCCCGTCTCTGAGCAGATCAAAACCATAGGACCAGTCTAACTAAGAAATATCATAACAACTCCCCTTGGGCGAAAGTTCCCAAAGGGGTTCTCTCGCATAAAAACTCCCAGTTCAATATCCTGATGCATGCTCAATAATCCAGGTAGAAAAATCTAACAAAGTTCAATCTGGTCCTCTAACTTTGTTAGATCCCAGTTCAATACCGCCAGATAAGCAAGCAATTAATCACTTTCCTCTGGTTGAATGTGAACTACTACTTATATGTTGGCGGGAGATGCCTACAGGCTACAGCGTGTGTGATCTGGCCACCTCAGGTCAAATAAGATGTCAGAGCTGACGGCTAATGTGTGACCTGCCAGCCCTCAGGCCGCCTGACCCAGCATCTGGACATCTGCCTAGGAATTCAGCATCCCCCTGGTGTGGTGCAATAACATAATGGAAATTTCTAACATTGGTCTAAGTCAGTTCTCTAAATATGATTTAATAATTGTAGGAGGCGTCCTAATGCAAGAAAGCATTTTAATCTAATAAGTTAATCAGTCGTAGAACCTAATCTTCCTTTATGACTCCAAGGGCAGGCCTGGTCCATCGTGTCCATCTGAAAAAGAAAACAAGAAAAAAAAAAAAGAAACTCTGTGCCCCCTTCCCTTTTCAATCGTGCCATCCCTATTTTATTTGCACAGAGCGCTGCCGGTATGGTTAGCCTGTCACAGCAGAAAAATGTGTTTGTGTGAACAAAAATCTAATTTAAACATTTTAACGTGTTTTAACGTGCATGTTGTATGTAACTAACAGAACCTCCCAACTCCCCCTAGTGATCTAATATAAAACATTCCCAATTAATCAACAAATCAATTTACCCATTTCACCACCCATTAATTTAACCTCAATTTAGATTGAAAAGTGTCATAAGTTCACCCCCTGGAAAATCTATATTATAAAACCTCATATGTATTTATCAAAATTCTCTGGTCTCTTCTCCATGGCCGTCAGCTGTAAAAACTTCATTATTACATAGTAAACAATATCAAAAATCAAGTTTATCATTGTAATTGCACCATCTAGTGGCGCTGCTCTATTATGATCGGTTTTTCAAATCTATGTCTACACACATCAAACAATCATCAAATAAACAAATCATCAAGTAATCATCAAAAGGTAATATTAAGCTACGTACGATGTAAAATTATCTTGTTCAACCACGTTAATTTCTAAGAAAAATCATCATACCACTCTATAATACTCAAAAACTCAAAAATCAGGATATGTAAGAGAAATCATAATGTCCTCCTCCCCATTGTTTCGCTTCCACATTAAGCTCATCAGTGTAGTGGACTAGGCCTGATGTCAAAACTGACCAGATGGACAGAAACTGTCATTTCATTGATTTGAATCCAGAAATACAGTTTGACCCATCCTGAGACTTTCCTTCTTGAATTAATCAAGTGGAAAAGACAATTCTCTATGATCATTACTATTTTACAAATGTTTTGATAATCAAATTGTGTTAGTTCAAACAATGTTTACATGTTGAAGTGAACTACTCATTTATTATTTACTTAAACAGTAGTAATGATTTTTATTCCTCAATTCAAAGTGAAATCAAGTTAGAGAACGTTAGAGAGTAATGATTCAATTTCTTGATCGTCTGCTTGAAGTGAGCAAAGTTGTAAGTGTGTTAAAGTTCAAGCTTCGGTCAACTAGAAAGTTTACTGAAAAGAAATGTCATGTTTAACTTTTACAGCGAGATACAGGAGAGGTGGCTCCACGAAGTCTGGTTTTGCCATGATATCTTTCTGTCTGTTCTTAAACAATTTGAATCTTTTCCTTGACTTTTAATAACACCTTACATCACAAACCACACCTCTGCTTTGGTCCATCCACCAATCAAAAAGCTCTCAAATGAACCGGAAGTAGAGCCCATTTAAATGTGGCAACTTCCCAGTTCAACAGTAGAGTTCAGAGTTGCAGAGTTCAGGAGTTTTGGAATCCAGAGTGCAGAGAGTTTGGGAGTTCGTGAATGCAAACGCAGGCATTCATGGATGCTGCTAAACCAAACAAGCTGAACCAGAGACGATTTTGGGAATTATAACTTCTGTTTGGATAACCTCACACGGCTCTCGAGGTATTTGGCTGTTCTCACTGAGACGCTGAACAGTGGTTGGAAGTGAGACTCCACGCCGGAACTGATCTATCTTCAGAAAAGGTAAAAGTCTACCTTCACCAAAAGTGTACTGTTTGGGACAAGCTGATTTCCGAAGGAGCGTGCACGTTCTGGTTAAAACAGACAAATTCCCTCACACATCTCTCTGTAAGATAAATCTCAATTTTCCATCTTTAAACTCTCCTTTCTGCTAGAAAATTAATCCAGATGTTTTCATTAATGTCTGTGGTGAAGCAACGGAAAATCATGGCCGTATG